TGGTTTACTTTGAAAACACTTTCTGTTAGAATGGAGAAAACACATTGAAGAGTTTTCTTTACAAATCTTGTCATGGATTTAAATTTCCTTCCAGATAATCATTCTCCTACTTTGTGTGTCGTTGTTATATTCACAAGGTTCTGAATAGAACCTGGCTACAGCCACTGAACAGTTCTGCTTCGAGGGGTTCATTGATGGAGTCGGGGTGAATTGCAGCCCAAAGCCTCGTCCACCACCTGGACTGTAGGACCCCGGGCCACTCCCACCCGTGTTTGTCACCCAGCGAGAAGGAATCGCCAGGAGCATCCCTCCTGTGGCGAGCACAGTGACCTTCGCTGGCCCTCCTCCTCTTCCCCGGCGTCCCGACAGCTGTCGAGAGCTCATTTGTTTTGTTCATTCCGTGAGGAGCTGGACACTCCTGCTGCTTACTCCTGTAGACAAGGAGGGGAACAGAGAAGTCTGGTCATTTTTCTGCAGTGCCTTGGCTACCATTTGGGAGATTCTCAGTTGTTGTTCTTACAGGAATGAGAGGGAAACATTGCTGCTGGAAGCATTTGAGATCTGTTTTTCAAAGTTTGTTTAGTTGTAATGTGGTAATACTTTACGGGAATGAACTCTGGCTGACCTACTCAAAGGATATAAGCTTGAAAACATTGGGGTTTTGATTTGCTCAAAGGAGGCAGTTATTCTTTTTTGAAGCTCAAATCCAGTGGGAAATAGGTTTTCTGGTGCTTACTATGTTTAAATGCAAGGAGCATGTCTTTCAAGTGTGATTCCCATCTCAAAAGACAGAACTTTGGAGAAAATGATGGAGGACAAGCCAGATACGTGTTCATTGATCAAGAAATACATTCACAATGTATGAAATAATCACGTTATAAAAAACATGTATTCTCCATTCTTTTCTTTTTTTAAGAATGCCCATGTGTATACATAGACACATAAAACAACAGAAAGGATTTTATTTATTTATTTATTTATTTAATCCACACCCAAGAACATTTTTAAATTTATCTTCAGATAGAACGGGAGGGATAGAGGGAGGAAGAGAGAGAAACATCAATGTGAGAGAGACACATTGAGTGGTCGCCACCCTCATGACCCCAACTGGGACCGGTGGTGGACAAACTGCAACCGAGGTACGTGCCCTTAGCGGGAACTGAACCCGGGACTCTGGTCCGCAGGCTGATGCTCTACTGCTGAGCCAAACTGGCCAGAGCAGAAAGGATTTTAGATGTTAAGGAGCCGTGGGTTAGGTTCCTTATGATTCGGGATGACCTTGATGTATTGATAACTCTCAGAGGCAACTGACCCCTTAGCAATAGCGTGAATTATTTAGATGGTTGGGGTGGGAGAAAAGGCAAACAAAACCCGTTTCTGGCACGGAAAAGGTTAATTATCCATCCTCTCGAGCACATGAGGTTTTGTAAAAAGCGTCTCTAGGTGAAACACAGAGTGGTAAAAATATCTGAGAGTGGCTGGGAATGAAGTCCCAATTTGTGTGGGGTGCTGGTGTGTCATAGACTCTGACTGTTCATTCGAGACTTCACTCATGGGGTCACAGCTTGGTTCGCTTGCTGGATACAAGCTATAAATATACTAAAATAGGCTCTAAACTCAATTTTAACAATGTCACCGTCATAAATTGCCTGTCACCAAAGTCAGTTCATCCAATGCCTTCCTGAAGTAGGGACAGTTGCCTTGTGGTCACTGGGAATGACTAATCCAAAATTCATTTACCACGTTTCAGCTATAAGGAGGACTAGCAGGTGATCTCAGTTTTTGAGACTCATTTACCTCATCCTAATGTACTTCATTATATATACATATAACAGTTCTCTTTTTAAATCGTTTTTTGGTTTGTTTTGTTTTTAATGGCAGTTGACATACATCATTATGTTAGTTACAGGTATACCCCCCCAGTGATTAGACGTTACATAAGTTACCAAGTGATCACCCTGACAAATCTCACACCCATCTGACACCACACATAGTTACTAGACTATTATTGGCTGTATCCCCTGTGCTGTACTTTACATCCCCCTGACTGCTGCTACAACCAGTTTGTGCCTCTTAATTCCTTCACCTTTTCACCCATTTCCCCAAATATACATGTAACACTTCTGTACTTTTTCTTTTTAATCCTCACTCAAGGACAAATGCATTTATCTTCAGATAGAGCAGGAGGGAGGAAGGGAGGAGGAGAGAGAGAGAAACATCGGTGTGAGAGAGACAGACACATCGAGTGGCTGCCACCCATGGCTGGGGCCGGGAACACACCGCAACCGAGGTACGCGCCCTTAGCGGGAACCGAACCCGGGCCTCTCTGGACCGCGGGCCGACGCTCTCACTGCTGAGCCAAACCGGCCAGGGCTGCATATAACATTTCTAAACGTAGATAAAAGTGTGAGCCCGTGTCCTTCACATTTAAAGATTCTCAGTTTGCCTCTGCTGAAGGATATCTTGGATTTGGTAACCCACAAAGAGTTACGAGAAATCTCTCAGGAATTACAGGAACTCTGTAGAACTCTAAACTCTATAAGACGTCAGAGTCCTGGTTTCTACACCAGGGCACAGTTGACCAACATTTACTGCCTTGAAATTGAGGTGCTAGAACGGCTTTCTCCTGTTTTCCTGTTAGTTCGTGGTACCGTGGTTTGTGTATCAACATCTTTGGGTTTAAGATTCATTGGCTTGCCCTGGCCGGTTTGGCTCAGCGGTTAGAGCGTCCACCTGCGGTCCAGAGAGACCTGGGTTCGGTTCCCGCTAAGGGCACGTACCTCGGTTGCAGTTTGTCCCCGGCCCTGGTTGGTCGTGCGGGTGGCAGCCACTCGATGTGTTCCTTTCACATTGATGTTTCCCTCTCTCTCTCTTCCTCTCTCTCCCTCCCACTCTGTCTGTACAAAAAATGGAAAAATGGCCTCGGATGAGGATTAAAAAAAATAAAAATAAAAATAAAATAAAATAAAATAAAGATTCATTGGGTTACCGTGTAGCTTCTGATAATAACTTTCTTGCTTTCCTCCCGTGGCTCCGCTTCATGTTATTAATCAAATGGAAGTCTGACCCGTGCACATAAACAATGATATTTCGTTAAAATTCTCTTCATCGCTGACAATTTTGCTGATGAGCATTATGAAGGCCTCCCCCTCCCCCAATGTTGCCTTTGTCGTTGGGTTTCACTTGAAAGTCCCATCTTTAATATTTTGGTAAGAGAAGAATTTAAGTGGAAATGTAATCTGAGTATTGAGTCTAATAAATGGACTCAGCATGGGGCTGTTGAAGCCAACCATTCCATCAGCGTTGTAAGCATTAAAGGACAGTGGTATTATTTCAGGAGTCGGCTCATGCAGTGGAAGGGCAGCTGTGCTGGGAGCAGGGAACAACCAGGTGAAATCAGTTTAGCACAGTCCACGCCTTCCGGGTGGACTGTCTTGAACCTGCTGTCCCTTCGAGGCTCGGATGGAAGTCATTGATTTGGCCAGTGTGCTCCTTTGGCCCAGCAGCAGCATGGAATGATTCCAAATGGAGTGTTCAGCTTTGAGGTTTCTTTGGAGTCGAGGTCCGGATACTGTGGAATAAATGCTCTTTGAGGCATTTTACCATTGTGTGTAGTAACAGGTCCTCCACCAATTCATTGTGTTATGGAAAAGCCCTGGAAAGTAGTCAGTGGGGAGTCCTGGCCAGCAGGCCATGGCCACCTCTGTTCCTGAGCTGTGGGAGCTTGTGCTTTGGGTCTCAGTGACCTCATCTGTAAAATGGAAACAATGGCACCTGCTAAGTTGGTTTTAAGACAAATGAGAAAAGTGTATGAATCATAAAGCATTGTTGAAATCTTTAGGTTCCTATGGGTTATTGTGCTATTTTTATTTGGCTTAAAAATTTTTCCCTATATTCTCAGGACTTAAAAAATTACCTAAGGGCATGTTTATACATCAACTGCTTTTGCAACTGATGACATCGATTACACAAGTTGTCCTATTGGGACGACTGCAAATGACCGTTTTAGTAATATTTGTAGGGAAAAGCAATGAATCTTAAAAATACATGTTATAAATCCCTTTTTGCTCACCCTGGATAGATTGGCCTTTGAACCATGGGGTCTTTCAACTAGCCCTCTTCTCTGCACCCCTTGACCCCTTTCTCAAACTCCCCTTACCTGGGAACTTAGATCTCAGTGTTATCTTTACTTTCTCCGAGAAGCCCTCCCAACGCCCCAGCGAGGTTTGGACCCTCAGTTCATTGTCATTTGTTCTTTGTATTTCTCCGTCATGACAGTTTTCATAGCTGCAAGTTAGTAATTATTTAACTGTCTGCCCTCTCCCTGAGGACACATTGTCACTTGTGCACATTCTAGTCAAATATGCGTAACTTCTAATCACAAGGAAACATTAAAGTAAAAAACAATTTTAAAAAATATGTTTTATTTATTTTAGAGAGCAAGGGGGAGGGAGAAAGAAATCTCACTGTGAAAAAAGGAACATCGATTGGTTGCCTCGTGCAGGTGGGGATTGAGCCTGCACCTGGGGCTTGTGCCCTGACCAGGAATCAAACCAGTGACCTTTTGGTGCACAGGATGATGATCAACCAACTGAGCCACACCAGCCAGGACAACTCTTTTTTTTTTTTTTAAGTCTGCCTTTCATGGTAGTTTGTAAACTCAATATGGCAGAGACCACACCTGATGTATTCATTGTTATATCTCAGATAAGCCTGGGATGGTGGGTGTGTAAACCATGTGTGGTGTTCAGATGAATGAATGAATTAATGAATTAATGGTGTGTACATTTCCTTGGATACAAAGCCTTATCTGCTTGACAATAGCTCCTTGTACCTTTTGTAAGGTAGCTATATCAGTCAGATGAATAAAAGCCTTAAATACTCATTGTCATTGATGCTCACTCCTCTGTATTTCCCCTCTAAATGACTTATTTCTCTTGAAGTTACACTATTTATAACTTGGTTGTGAAGACTAAAATTAAGTTTTGTGTTCCCCCTAGCTCCTACAGAAGAATGGTCAGCTGTCCACCGTCAATGGCTTAGCTGAGCAAGAAGGGCTCAACCTCCAGGAGGGGGCGCTGAAGGGCCAGGAGGAAGAAGTCGTCACAGAGGGTAAGCCGCCTTTCTGGGCTCTGGGCAGAAGCAGGGGCTGGAGGGCAAACAACACCTGCAGTGAGTCCAGGAGAATAATAAACACAGGTCTGGGCAGAGCATGTGTATACTGTTGTCCTCCCTGGGGGTGGATGATGTTGAAAATAAAAGCAGTGAATTCCTTACAAGAGGAAGTATTTATCTGACCATTTGGGTAGGTGCTTCACTTAGGAAGTTAACCAATTCTTTGGTATAAGAAGTGAAAGAAAGAAATAAAGAAGAAGTAAAGTCATGTTCCCTCTCTCTTAGAAGTCCTTATCTAGAAATTAATGTTGTTTTTTGTTTTGTGTTTTCACGGTTGCATTGTCTCAGCGGCTTGTCTGGTGTCTAATGTGAATCCTTGGAGGCACTGGAGTCATGGTTGCTTTAAAAGTCAGCGTCTCTCACTCTAGGAAGAGCCTGCCCCGCATGCACAGTTTTCGGGAGTGTGCCTTTCTGGGTGCACACCTCTCTGCCTGAGCTGTGACGTGCTGCGTGCTTGTAGCTCGAGCCTTGAGGTCCTGGAGGGGTGTGGTTGGGAAGTGAGCCTCACGCCCAGTACCAGTGCTTCGATTTCCACCCATGCAGAGCGGTGAGAACCACACCTTGGGATCAGCATCAAGGGACTTGCCCGGCAGCTCTCATGTGAGGGGCCAAATGTTGAAAACGAACCCGCCTCTATTCCTGAGTTCTGTTTTCATTATTCTGTTTAATCATAAATGAAGGAATAATTTAGCAACCACTATCGAAGCTGTATCAAATGAGGATTTGGCACACAGGAAGCTGATTCTCGTGTGTAATGTGGACAAGACAAATGATCGGGAAAGCCCTGTGAAAGGAGACTGGCCATGGCCTTGGTCAGACGAACTTCTTCCAACAAGTGGGGCCTGCTTTAGTTCAACGCCCCCAGAAAGTGCTTCAAGCTGTAGGGGTGGGAAGTGTGTCCTTCTCTTCTGGATTCTTTGGCTAGTCAAACGAAATGACATGACAGATTAATAGGAGAAAACAAATTTCATTACGGACATTCGGGGGTGGAGTATAAAGATACGAGACACAAAAGGCAGCCAGGTTATTGAAGCTTATCTGACCTCCTGAGCTCAGGAACGGGGTGGGCCTTGGACATGCAAAGGGGAAGACGGCCACGCACAGGAGGGCTGAAGCCAGGCTTGGGAAACAAAGGTTGCTTGGCTGTGTCATGTAGGTAAGTTTCTTAGGTAAAAAGGAATATCTGGTAATAGCTCCTTTACTGGTACAGCCCCCTTTCCAGTGTAAATTGAGGCAGTTGAGGGTGGAGGTAAAGAGTTTTTCCTGCCCTGGCCCGTTTGTCTCAGCAGTTAGAGCTTGTCCCTCAGATCACAAAGTCGTCCTGGGTTCGATTTCGGCCAAGGGCACAACGTGTCTCGGTTGCGGTTTGGCCCCAGCCCTGGTTGGGGTTGTGGGGTGGCAACCAATTGATGTGCCTCTCTCACATCGATGTTTCTCTCTCGCTCTCCCCCTGCCACTGTCTGAAGATAAATGTAAAAATATCCTCATGAGCCCTGGCCACTTTGGCTCAGTGGTTAGAGCGTCGGCCTGCGGTCCGGAGAGACCCGGGTTCGGTTCCCGCTAAGGGCACGTACCTCGGTTGCAGTTTGTCCCCGGCCCTGGTTGGTCGTGCGGGTGGCAGCCACTCGATGTGTCCCTTCACGTCGATGTTTCTCTCTCTCTCTCCCTTCCTCTCTCCCTCCCACTCTATCTGTACAAAAAATGGAAAAATATCCCCGGTGAGGATAAAAAATATATATATATATCCTCATGAGAGGATTTTAAAAAAGAGAGTTTCTCTTGAGTTTGCTGGGTTTTGATTGCCTTTAGCTCAAGATAATCCTCCTGCCAAAGTGGCATATTTCAGCACTGATCGCTCCCAGCACCGTAGGCGCAGCCTCGGGTTAGAGACATACACTGTCTCACAGAGGATGTGTGAGAGTTTCAAATAATTTCCACCAAAACACTTGGCCCAGTCGCTGTGGCTCAGCGGTTAGAGCATCGGCCCTCGGAGGAAAGGGTCTCAGGTTCGATTCCCAGTCAAGGGCACTTACCTGGGTTACCTGCCCCCATCGGGGTCATTCAGATGGCAATCAGTCGATGTGTCTCTCTCACATCAATGTTTCTCTCTCCCTCCCTTCCTCCCTTCCACTCTCTCTAAAAGTCAGTGGAGAAATATCCTCGGGTGAGGATTAAGCAGAAAAAAAGAAAAGAAAAAAAATAGAAATGGCCCAACTCAAACTCCAAAGTCCCACACTTTGTCCTTGGTAACATTTTTTTTTTTATCCTCACCCGAGGACAATTTTCTATTTTTTGTTCAGATAGAGTGGGAGGGAGAGAGAGGAAGAGACAGAAAGAAAGATCGATGTGAAAGGGACACATCGAGTGGCTTCCTCCCGCACGACCCAACCAGGGCCGGGGACAAACTGCAACTGAGGTACATGCCCTTAGCGGGAACCAAACCTGGGTCTCTGGACCGCAGGCCGACGCTCTAACCGCTGAGCCAAACCGGCCAGGGCTGTCCTTGGTAACTTTTGAATGAAGTCAAGCCAGTGTGCTGGGGGCTTCAGGGAGGATGAAGACAGCTTAGAGATGGCCCACCACTTGCGGAGCTCACCATCGGGGAAGACGAGAAGCCAGTCTGTGGAAGGGTACATCAGACACAAATAAGGCTAAGACGGCGAGGTGAGCTAGTGAACTTGGGGATGAGATCTCCGAGTTCAGGTGGAACCATCGTTTGAGGTCCGAGGGTGGGGAAAGAGCTAGGGGCTGAGGCAAGGTTGGGTTTAGAGTTACGGAGACAGTGAAGGCTGCCAACACGAGGAAGAATAACAGCCAACACTTCACAAGTTTTTATTACAGGTCCTGGAACTGTGCCTCTCGTGCTTTTTGGCCTTAAAAAGTTACAGCAACCCCACGACCTAGGTTGATACCATTCTCAAGATTCAAACCCACGTGGGCAGAGAGCCGGCCCCAGCTCTTAACCGCCGTGCTGTTCCTGTGGGGGGCGTGTCCACAGGCTCTGCTGGAACCAAGTACGAGCAAAGGGGAGGATGGAAACCCAGAAAGGGAAACAGGCCATAGGGCCCTGAAGGCAGAGCGGAGTTTAGAAAGCATTTAGAAGGCGATGTGGGATCACTCAGATGTGCCCCAAGGCAGGCTGGGCCAGGCCTCTTATCCAGCGCTGTTGTGGGGTTGATAAGAGGAGGGAGACAAGGGCAGGTGCCCACATTTTCACATAATCCTTTCTATCTGTGGCATGTTTACTGGAGGTCAGCTGGCTAGCTTCCTTCAGTCCAGATATGATTCCATTCACTGTTCAGCCCTGGGGTCAACGCTGATTGTTCTAGAAAGTGATCTGTCCCCACCCTATGATTATTCCATTGTCTCCCTAAACCAACTCAGGCTCCTGGCCCTGGCCTTGGGGTCTGAGCGAATAGCAAATGCCTCTTGCAGGACGAGTGCTCATTCCTATTCCTGGTCCTGGTCCTTCGAAAGATCCTGGAGAGGCCTTGTCATCTGGGAAGGACACCCCCCCCCCCCCCCCCCGTGGCCCAGGCCTACAGGGGCCACCGCCGGAGGCATTTCTATTTCTGGAGACCCTGCCTTTCCTACTGTTTTAGGCAGAACTGTTCATCTATCTTGCAGGCCTGAGGCAGCTTGGTACACTTATTTGGCCTTTTCCGTCCCCATTTTGTCTACCTGGTTAGGTAAATACAGTCTTTATGTTAAGTTGTTAAATAATATTTTTTCATGCTTTTTCTCTTGACATCAGTGACAGCCTCTGGTTAGTTGTTGTGGTTATTTCCAGAAATCCGTTCAACATGTAAACAAAAGCATCGTTTGGGATGTCACACTTAATTGAGGATTCTGGGCACCTTGGTGTCTACTACCATCCACTTCAGGAAGGACAGATCTGACCCACACTGCTCCCTGGGGGCACTGGTCAGCAGTGGCATTTGGTTCCTTCTAGAGCCGTTTTTAATCTAAAGTGACAGACAGTTTTGAGACAAAGCCAGAAGTGAATATATTTTCCCACCTTGACTGGCTTGTTCTCTTTCTGAGACCAGAAATACTGGTAATTCAGAACCAGCCCTCTTTCTTTAATGAAAATGGGATCCTGTTTCCTTGTCAACATGAACTGTGCAGCAGGGTCAGAGGCAAAAGTAGGCTCCCAGTGTGGGTACCCGAAACACAGAGTTTATTCTTGCATTATGATTTATTAGTGGTTGCATTATTTTCCATACTAACAGCTGTAAGCCTACTTTTGCCCACTCCTGTATATGTTTTGGAGGGGGCTTGAAAATTATTTCATTTTGGGGACCATCTTTTAGAGTGTACACAATTAGAATTATTTACTAAAATGAAAAAAAAAGAAAAGACAGAAGCCCTGGCCAGGTAGCTCCGTTGGTTGGAGCATTGTTCCTGCACCAGGGTTTCAGATTTGATGCCCTGGTCAGGGCACACACAGAAATCAACCAATAATTGCATACGTAAGTGGAACAACAAATTGATGTTTCTCCCTCTCCTTCCCTCTTTCTCTAAAAGCAATAAAAGAAAAAGAAAAAAAAGGATTCACAACAAATTACTTTAGCCTTGGAGATTTAGTCCTTCTCTCCTGAATTCTTTCTAAGTGATTTATCGTTATCAAAACTGCTGATACAGAAATGCAGCCCTTTCCCAACTAGAAAGTTCTATCACAGTGTGTACTCCCAGCATGCACAGGGGCTGCATAAGTGCCATTGGTTTTGTGGAAAATCTGCTTCTGCTGGAAAGATTTAAAAAAAAACCCAAATTGTCATTTGTTCTATAGTCTGTGGCTTATATAGTTTTCCATGAGTTAAATGCCCGAATGAAAAAAAACTTTTGAAAACATATACCTTGGTCTGGGTCCAATTTTAGATTTAAAACTTTTGCAAATTAGTACTTTACATTTAAAAAAAAA